ATAGAAACTTAACGCTGAAACTGACACTTCTTTTTCTGATCAAATCTTTTCATCTTCCTTTATCTGTTTATACATATCAGAGAGCAACAGCAGGTAGAGGGGTTTTCTATTGTCTATTTAAATTCTCTATAATTTTTCCTTTACTGCAAGTCACTTCAGATTAGAATGACACAATGATAGTAACTGATACATATTGACAGTGTTTTAATTTGGTCTCTATTTTATGTTCACATTGTCCAAGACACTTCTATATAAAGATACTTAGAGGGCTAATACCACATACTTTTCTGATGTATTAAATTACCAAGAATATTTCTAGCCAGTCACAACCTAGAGAAGTCAAAATTTATCTTCCCACGAACATTGCAGAACTGTAAAAGTACTTCATAGGTTCAGTTGTTTCTTATCTGTACTGATTGCTGATCCGGCCAGGTTATAGACCGGGCCCAAATTTCCCCCTCTGACCAAATTTTTCAAGGTGCTATATGCTTTCGTAATGGGAAAGTCAACAGAACTTCTGGGAAGGGAGCACTACGTAGCTGTTAAACACTGATGAAGTCAATTTATTCTCATGTTGAGGTTGTTGAATCTTCCTTTGTTTAGTCTAGTTCTATAAAAAGAACAATATTCATAAGCATATCCCTAGAGATGGTTACTGACATTTTAAACAATTGTCTTAGCCTGCAACAGCTATCCTACATTTCCTTGTGTGATCATGGCAACTGACAGTACATACATCCAGCATAACCTTAGATGCAATGTAACCTAACTTCATCCCGGGATTACATAGGCTAAGGAGGTGAGCAGTGATGAAACCCTGCACTATTTCTGAAAATATTTAGCACAGAACTGAGAACCATGCTACTTGGGATGCCGGTCCAGAAGTGCACTTGCACACTTGCTGACACTGAGCAGCTGGCTGCAGGAATGGGGCCGTTGAAGATGAGTCACAGGAGGCAATCTTGGCCACAGTCTGCTCAGCTGACAGGGCTCAAACATTACCAGTAGCAACCAGGAGTTCAGCATCTCTCCCACCTCTGGGGCAAGTGCAGCTCCTGTCACCACAAGGCAATAGGCTACACTAGGAATCACAGGCGAAGGGGGAGAAGATATCCCTACCTCCTATGGCCACCATCCTATGCATGCTCTTGTGTCTCTCTGAAGTGCACACTCAGCCACCCCAGATCTCACACCCCTTCCTACAAGTCACTGAACTAAAATTGGTCAGAGTTTGTCAGATGTGCTCATAGAGATGACAAGACCACCTCTTAAGAGCATTTAGGAACAAGGATGTCAAATGACCTAGAGGGACAGGTGAACATAGTTTCTCAGCACCAAAAGCAGTCTCAACACAGGGTAAAGACAGCAGCAGAAGGCAGGTGTCCAGCCTAGCCTGATTTCACTGGCAAAGGCACACCCACGTGTACCTCTGCCAGCCATGCAACCTTCTTCACTCACTTCTTTTACCCGCCTTTGGTTTAGCTGCCTTGTGCTTCTTCATCTCAATGAACCATTTTCTAACAAAAACTGAACAGAAATATCATCCAGACTAGTCGGGAACAATAGTTTATTGGTTAGATTTTTGTGCTTTTGGCCTAGAATTGCGTGTGTCGCGCAACTGAGGGCATAAAGCAGAACAGGCTCAGCCCAGCCCAAAGCTGGGCACATACCCCAGACATGGGGCCGAGTGTCTCCTGGCCTCCTGCTGGCACACAGCCCACTTGCGGCCTGGGTGATCTGCCCTGGTATTTAAACACAGCCAGAAGATCTTGCTTCATTTCAGAAAACACACAGAATGCATCCACAGCGGTGTGGAGAAGGTATCAAGACACGAAAGCAGGATTTCCATGGCATTGTCATCTCTCAATCAAACAGTACGAATGTTAGGAAACAGACTTTCTCCAAAGGAAACGGCAGCTTGAAGAGTGTCAGAAATGAGAGCCCCCGCAGAGATCCATCAAAACAACTTTCTCCTGTAACCACTACATAAGAGCAGCCTCTCAGTCTGACCTGAAAATCTGTAATCTGGTACCCTGTCTTCTTCCCTTCCCTCCTTACAATTCGAAAATGAACCTCCTGAGAAAAATACAGAACAGGACAAAAGCTCAAATTGGCTATATTTAATATTTCAATTATAATTAATCAATGCATAATACATGAGCTTCCAGTGCCACACTTTATAGTGCCATATTATGCCCTGGCAAGGTCCCTGCCCTGCACCAGGCATGTGATCTTGGCAGCAGCCAGCTCCACACTGGCTTTGCTGCACCAAATGCCTCCATGGAGCAGTCCTTCCAAATCTCCTTCTATGTATTTAATCATGAATATGTCAGCGATAAAAGAATTTTTACTGTCGGCCCTGTTACTATGCAGAACCCCTACACACAACAGCACACAAGCTGCTTCTGTTATGTCTGCCTTCACAGATGAGACCTCAAGTCCCAGCTAGTCACTCACTAGTCACAAGCTAGCAGCCAGCTTCTCCTGCAGCACCGTGAGGGGAACATATGTAGAAACATTTCTGCTGTGAAGATGACCAAGCACTGGGACAGGCTGCACAGAGAGGTTATGCAGTCTACATTTGAGGAGATGCTCATAACCCCACAGGACATGGCCCTAGGCAGCCTACTCTGAGCAAGGGGTTGGGTGAGATGTTCTCCAAGGTGCCTCCAATCTCAGTTACTCTGTGAAAAAGGCCACAGTACAGGTATGATAAGAAAATAGTTGCACAAATACGATTATTTCTTAATCTAGCTGATACAAAATATTTGGGGACAGGAAAGAACCAGCATCATGTTTTTGTAAGAAAAAAACAGCTGTTTCATTAAGCCTATCGCAACCAGCACCGCATGCAACCTTGCCTACCACGCAGCCATCCTCAAACACTGCTCACATGCAAACAGAGCAAGAGAGCAGCAGGAGCACATTTGTCTGAGGACAAGATGAGACTGGGTCAGCACTCAGAAAGCAGGAGGAAGATCTGTCAAGCAGGCAGTGGCTAGCTGTGTTGGGCGTGAAAGCTGGTCCATGGCAATAGAATAGCAAGAAGCTGGGCTTCCTTGACATACTTGGGCAGTGGAAACGATAGGGAACAATCCACAGCCAGCATAACAACAGAGTTAAGCATGTGTTAAATCCACAGTGTAACTAACAGCTCTAGGTTACCTTAAGAGTTCTTGAATTTAATACAATTTATCTGGCATGCATGAGACAATTCAGAACCATTTTCTTCTGAGTTGCTATTGAAGACCTGAGGTGGTATAGCTGACAGTGAAGTTCCATCTTTTTCTGATATGCACGCCTTCCTTATAGTTCTCTTTCTCTGACAGCTGTGGTTTACCCAGTGACTTCATGAACTCCACAAGGTGGGAATGTATGTCACTAATAGACGCTTATTACCTCAAGAAGTATCAAACTCAGAATTCAAACATGAATTACTTACCTTTAAAGATTTTAATTAATTAAAATTAATTATGTCCCAAAAGGATGACAGTTTAACACCAAAAGGGGGGTGAGTCATCCAAAAGGTACATCACCAAGTGATTTACTGCCACTATAGTGAGCTTGATAATATCAGCAACAGGAGTTCAGCGCACTTCTTACTTCAGCTGATCCAAGGCACAGATACCATCCCCATGGTCACGCAGGGAAAGCAATTCAATATAGAACTTAATTGCAGCAGAAAAAAGTTTAAAGCTACCCTCTCTGGTACATCCTTCACTGCTTTAAAGTTCCAGATCTTACATTTAGGGCAGGAAATGTGACAGAAATCCATCTGCCCTTGTCCAGGCAAGTTTTCTGCCCCTCTAAATTTCACTACTACAGCGTCAATCTGCCCAATGCAAGAAACCAGAGACACGGAAAGATGACCTAGTTCACACCACGATGTCAACTGCCTTTGCTTAGGAGACTGAAGGTCCGAGAACTGCACAAATACTTCGGGAGTACCAGGAAACGGTCCTTTAACTTAAGGACAGTGGGTAGCCAGTATCTCAGGGATAAAATTAGCTACCTTAGCAAAATGTTCAGGCTCCCTGCACAGTTTCGATTTTACATGTCTGTGGCCGAATTTCTCTCTGTCGGGAAAGGTGCCAAAGCTGAACTTAATCATTAACATCAGAATCCTTTCTTTGGCCTCCAGTCGGCTGCCCATCACGGGGCTTAAAAGGCAGCGAGCACGACGCTTTGAACTCACGCAGCCAAACCTTTTTTTTTTTTTTTTTTCCTTTCCCCCTACAAAAGCTTAACTTGTAACTTTGTTTTGCTTCGTTTTCCCTCGGAGATGCACCGGCAGCCGAAAGCCCCGCCTGGCATAGCTCCCCCTCCCCTCCCAAACGGGGGTGCTGCCCGAGGACCCGGACCCAGAGGGGCTGTCGGAACCCCACACACAGCAGCCCACCTGGCAGCCCCGCTCTCCTCTTACATGGGAGCAGCGGAGGGAGCGGAGTGCGCTGTTCCCTCCCCACACGTGTCCCCCGCCCCGTCCCGCGCCCGGGGCAGCTCCCGCGTACTTACCGCGGCAGACACGGCGCTGAGCTCGGCGCTCAGCAGCAGCCCGAAGCCCAGCCAACGCCACATGTTACCGCGCACCGCGCTGCTCCGTCGGTCCCTGGGCGGCGGGGCGCCGGCGGCTCAGCGCGGCGTGGGGGCTCCTCGGGGCCGGTCCCACATGCACGCCTCTCCCCTCCGTGCCGGCCGCGGCGCCTGCAATGCCTCGGGGCCGAGCGACTGGCCGCGCCGTAACCGATGGGCGGCGGCAGCCCCCTCCTCCCCGCGGGCGGGCGGGCGGGGACCCTGGGAGGGTGCAACGGCGCTCCCTCTACGCCGGCCGCGATTCCTATTCCTCTTCCTCCCACCGCGGGTGGGTGCGGGGGGGCGGGGGGAGGCGCGGCGCTCCCACGCCCCGCACCGCAGCGACCGCCCGGGAGGGCACGGAGAGCCGCGGGCTGCGGTGCGAAGGGGCCGGGGACGCCGGCTCCGCCGTCCCGTGGCTGCGGAGGGGCCGCTCCCCGAGTCCGGCGCTACATGCGGGCTGTGCTCTGCTCTGCTTCCCAGGGACGGCCGCGCGGAGCCAGCGAGTCCTGAGCCGAGCCCCCCGGCTGGGAAGGAACCGACATGGACCTCTCGCCGCTTCCCGGCGCGCGTGTTTTTGTTTGTCAGTAAGTAACTGCAACTTTTTTAAAGTCGTATTCACCTTTTGCTGCGGGATTTATCACGTGCTTGTGCTGCGCTCGTTTTGACCAGCATTGAGTTTGTCCACCTCTCCCGCAGGGACGTGGGGCTTCTGCTGGTGCTGCTGGAGGTCGTGCTGTTAGCCGGCAGAGTCGATGCCGTAAGTACCGCGCACTGGGGATGGCTTTTACTGAGGAGAAGGAGGGTGAGGGCTGTTTCCTTGGTACCTGCAAGCGGGGAGCCGCGTTTCCCTTTGCCAGATGGCTTATCTGTCATGCCATTTAAAGAAACAACCAACAAATCATCTCTGCAAGCCTTACAGATTGCTGCCTTCAGCGAGGTGATATTTAGCAGAGAAGCGCGGGGCTTCGCTGTCAGGTAGCTTGAGGGATTCCACGGTTACTTTTGCTCTGGATGGCTAATTTGTTAAGCCGTAGCGAGCAATTAGAAGCAAACCCCGAGACGCCTTCATTTTCATGAGAAAAGCACCGAGGCAAGTGGGCGGGACAGAAATGTAGGGCTACAGATACCAGAATGTGGAGGGAAGTGAACCTGCAGGTGAAATGTGTTTAATCCTGTACAGACCTCATTTGAGGACTGAGAATTTGAAGACACGGCTTCATTGTGCAAGTAAGAAGCACGTTTATAAATACATTGTCATTTAAATTAAGGGACGTTTAGCCTGGATATAAGGAAGAAGTATTTTACTTTAAGGACAGTGAGGCCCTGGCACAGGTTGCCCAGAGAGGTGGTGGGTGCCCCATCCATGGAGACGCTCGAGGTCAGGCTGGGCAAGACTCTCAACAACCTAACTGAGCTGTGGGTGTCCCTGTTTGTTGCAGGGAGGTTGAACCAGTTGGCCTTTAATGGTCCCTTCAAACTCAAACAATTCTATGATTCTACGATTATTAAGTCTAAAAATAAATTAAAAAAAAAAAGAATGCTGCAGTAGGTGATTATGAGTATCTGCTTGGGATGCTGATGTAAACAGAAGTTATTTTAGCTCTTCATCATTGTCACGAGGGTTTGAAAGAAGTGGAGGAGTTTGCATATGCCTATCCCAGAGCTTGGTGAGTTCACTGGGATGATTTTCCTTATTGTGAGTAGGCTTAGGATCAGGCCTTGCTGCTGCAGGCCGAGAGATCGCAGAGGCTTGGCTTGTGGCCATGTCTGTCAGCCATTAGGCTGGGGTGATGCTCCCTGGCCACATGCTAGGATAAAATGAACCTCAGCTACGTTTTTTAAGAGCTATCCTACTTATATTTTAATCCCACTCTGGAGTTTTTACCCCTTTTTTATGTGGTTACATGTCTGCAGTGAAATGGGTTGGAGTTGAAACTAAATCATCTTTAAGATCCCCTCTAACCTAGCCCAATCTATGATTCTATGGCATAATGCACTAAGAATTGGGAAATACTAGGAGTTTTGCAGCTAGTATTGTGGCACACCATACAGGTTTCACACACAAGCTGCAGCAGGCCCTAAGATCTGCACGGGGCTGTTGGTGTCAGGTAGGATACTGGGGTGCATCGTTCCCCTTGTGGCAAAGCGAAAGTTGACAGGCAGCTCTCACGGTCCCACAGGAAAGGCACTGAGTGAGGAACTCGAGTGTCACGAGTGCTGATTTTCCTTGCCAGGATCTTTTGGTGGAATCATCCTTCTGCTGAGTTGTGTGCAGTGAATGACAATATTGCCATCCGCTGTTGTGTGTGGAGCAGGCTGATGACAATGCAAGCATTTTAGGCTGGGGAACGAAATCAGTGGGATTAGCCGATATAACAAGGTATCGTTTGTGGTATGCCTGTTCTTTGTGAAGGTGTGCTGCAGGGTGAGTGGCACGATACCTGAGCTTTAGCCATAGCACAGGCTCATATATCTTCATGTTCTGGCTTGTAGGCAGGGTTAGCGTAGACGGATACAGAGGAGGTACATGAGCTACCTCCTCAAGGTAGTGGATGCAGTCTGGCCACAGCTGCTGAAATCTGTACAAAATATATTCTCCCTTTTATGGTAGCTCAGTGTCCTGCGTGGAGATCCATTTTCCTTGACTTAACATCTTTAAGATGGCAGCTGTGCGGAAGATGAAGCTCTGCTGTGCCTTTGAGTGACAAAGTATGGTCATCTTTCCATGAGAAATTAGAGCAGTATTGCTACCAAAATACTTACCGATTTCTTGCATATATGCCACTCCCTCTGTTTAGCCAGTGCAAATCTTTCATTAATCACATGGTGAGCTGAACTGGGAAGTTATTGGTTTAAACTAACCAGCCCTCACAAAGAGAAGAGCGGGAAGAGCTAACTTTGGATCAGATCCCCAAACACATTCATGGAAGCTTTGGTCAGCTCTGCTAAGAGAAGCAGCTAGAGGAGAGAACAAGGGGTTCCTTGCTCCTTCAGCCTCATCCCTGCTGAATGTATTTGCAATGTGACAGAGCAGGCTTGCGTGGGAAACAGCAACAGCACCTGAGGAATTGAGGGTGGCTGGCTGGCAGTTGTATGGAGGATTCATTTTGTGCATAAGGATTGTGACTGAGGACAAGGCTTGAATTCCAAGTTTTCTGTATGTCAGGAAAACCCCCATTCTCTTCATACTGCCATCATGTTTGTCACATTGATCTGTTACAGTTTGTTACACAAATTAACATGTGAATGCTATGAAGACTTTCATTAGCCTGGGTTTAAAAAAAAAACAATGAATTATTAAATTCTGCAAGACCAGATTAAAAGTCATTGTTCTGCCCGTAATGAGACAAGCAGAGCAGCTGAGTTTGATAGCCACATATGTGAATGAGTTTCAGTTGCTGAGGATAAACACTGCTGAATGAGTGAAATTACATGTGTGAAGACACTGCAGTGAGATTAAGGAGAAAGCCAACAAGGAAGGACAGATAAAAAGCGGAACCCAAAGCATTTGACTGGGCATCTTTCTGGCAGACTGTTGTAGCTGCTAGGGGATGGATGTTTCTGAACAGAGAAGAAACAGGATGTTTAGAATAGCTAAAGACTGAGGCAGAAGAAATGGAAGAGGAATCCCTGGATGGAAATGCTGTGTGAAGTAGCCAAATGGAGTGGATAAGGCTCCGGTTATCTTTTGTACTCTTTGGCATACGTTGGCTGGTGATGTTAAAGGCCTTGAGTAACTTTGGAACTTTTTTACATTATAGATTTAAATGTTCATCTGTCTTAAATAAATTGTATTAACTATACTAAATTTAGTTATGTTCACAGATTTCTTCTTCCTTTCTCTCCCTGCATGTGTACTACTTTCAAAATATAATTCCTTTTGTTCTTCTTACAGAATATACCTTCTGATAAAGCTGATTTTTTTTTTTTTAACTGTCATCTTTCCTGAAAAATACTTCTTTTTAAGTTTTTTTGTAACGTTTAATTTTTCCAACATTTGTAACTTAGTGGAGGGCCACTAAGATGATCGAAGGGCTGGAGCATCTCTCCTATGAGGAAAGGTTGAGGGAACTGGGCTTGTTTAACTTGGAGAAGAGAAGGCTGCAGGGAGACCTCATTGTGGCCTTTCAGTACTTGAAGAGAGCATATAAACAGGAGAGAGAACGGCTGTTTACAAGTGTGGATAGTGATAGGACAAGGGGGAATGGTTTTAAACTGAGACAGGGGAGATTTAGATTAGATATTAGGAGGAATTTTTTTCCCACTACAGCATGGTGACGCACTGGAACAGGTTGCCCAAGGAGGTTGTGGATGCCCCATCCCTGGAGGCATTCAAGGCCAGGCTGGATGTGGCTCTGGGCAGCCTGGTCTGGTGGTTGGTGACCCTGCACATAGCAGGGGGTTGAAACTAGGTGATCTTTGTTTTCTTTTTTAACCCAAGCCATCCTATGATTCTATGATTCTATTTGATTACCTTATTGGTGCTCCATTAGTACATTATTCAGACTGCTCCTAACAAAAATTACATTTTCTAAAGCTCTATGCTGGGGAGAGCAATAGAATCCCAGAAAAGGAGTGAATTTTAGACTAAGGAAAGTTATGAAAAAGTTAGAATAACATACACAAAAAGTAACTATGAGTAACTGATCATAACTGTCATGTATTTAGAAAAAAGAAAGTATTAATGTGTTGAGAGATTTATATAGAAAGAAAATTGAGTGAGTATGAATGAAATAAGATTCTATTGATTTCTGTAACATTGTAAAGAGATGTATTAGGGGAAATGGCATCTACAAGAGAAAAGCAGCAATCCCTTATAAGAATGGATGGAACCAATAGTACTATGTACATCTTTATATTGATTTTATAGTGAAATGAGATAACTAGCACAAGTTAATGCTCTAAATTATACTTCAGAGTTCTACAGCTATCATATACGCAGGTTTTCCCCCGTGTGTTCTGTTTCTTTCCATCTCAAAAATTTTGTCTGGTGAAAGCAAGAGGACTGTTTATGTTGACCCAGGATTTCCAGGCAGAAGGAAACTAGGCTGAAGCACTCAGTCTGCCCTTCTGGGCATGTTCACTGTGAATGCATGCACTAAGATTCACTTCATAAAATATGTGATATAGTTAATGTATAAAAGTAACAAAACTTATTTTAATGTTTAATTTTTATTATGATTATTAGAACATATGGTTTTGTTGCTCTTTTTTTCATAAAACTAGTGTTTTTGTGATGCTGGAGCATCAGTGTCAGGTTCAATGGCTGCAGTGGTTGCAGTTCTCAGAGAGCTCTCCAGGTGTTCATGAGAGATTTTTGCTGAAATTTTACTCTTCCTATACTTCATCCTTGGGAGCAGCTGTTCACAAATGCATGTACTGCAAAAAGTGATTACATGGATAAGGCGTGACTGTGAAGGATATTTGTCTCTGCTAAGAGAGGGCTTATAGAAGTCTGCTAAAGAGAGATGATCAAATCTTTGATTGCAAGTCCATACATTCCATTTGAAAATTCACGGGTAATGACATCTGAGAATGGAGTATCCAATAAACAAAAAAAATGATAATTTTTTGGCAATCTTGAAGCTGTTCTCAAATTCATTTATCGCAGCAGAAAACATGGCTGTATATTCTACACTCTTCACAGAATTCTTTTGACCTAGTGTATCAAAATCCACAGACTTCTTTGCCATCACTTGAACTGGCACTGCACTGCCTCCTGTGGCCTGGTTTCAGGGCACTGATGTTCTATTGGGG